GTAGGTAATTCTAATTACTGGCTATAAGCAGGTAACTGATATGTATTGTGGTAAGAGGATAGGTCAGGCTTTCATTCTTTGATGGATACCTGTTTTAAATCTCTATGTATTTTTCTCCATAATGAATAAATTGTATTCACTCTACACTTTATTTTGCTTTTAAATTTGTTTTATGTTTCATTCATACGTAAACACAGAAGGTTTCATTCGTTGATGGCGTTTCACTTTTTTTTCTCATCTTGTTTATGTTCAGTCGTTTATAGTTTTCGAATTCATGCGTTTATGATTTCTTTATTTACGCGGGGATTTTTTTCCCACTAGAACTATGCATTCTGAGTCTCTTTCGTCTGTAAATGATGTTGGTTTCTCAAGAGAGTTTGTATATTTATTATTTTCCTTGTTTGTACCCATGCCAGCAGTGATCCTTCCTTCTGCGTGTGCTGTTTGTCCTCATTCATCCGTCCTTAAGGTTGTGTCGACGAGTGAAAGTGTTGGAGTTATTTTTATACATTTTTTTTTTTGGGGGGTTGTTCATGCGTCTTGGTTCTACATCATGCGTTTTACATCTCCCTTATGAGAAAATATCAATGCGTTTGACCTCTTTACAGCACAGACAGGTATACCCCAATTTACACACTTCAGGTTTTTTGTGAGGGAGGGGGGGGGGCGGCTGACGGATTTTTGTACAAACCATGGTCATGTATTGACCCTCAGTTGTGTTGACTAATTGTAGGCACACCTCCCTCTCTCTCCCCCACTCTCTCTCTCTCTCTTTCCACACCTTTTTCCCTCACTCTCTCCTAACCCTCCCCACACTCCCAATCCAAAACCACTTTGACGCGGTTAAAAGAATATCCTCCTCCCACTACTACTACTACTACTACTACTACTACTACTACTACTACCCCAGTGCTCCCATTTCACCAACAGACAGACAGACAGACAGACAGTCAGACACAAGGCCACTCATCTGTACCATCACCAACCTTGCCACCTGTTCGTCTTTCTCCTACGATGACATGACCAGGTCTACGGTAAGTGGTAATGGTGACCCAGAAAGGTAAGTGGAATAAAAAAAAGAAAAAATGTAAACGATGAATAGAATAAGATGGAAAAAATTGAAAGGGAAAATGATGAATCACCAGGCTTGGTACACTCATTATACTGACTGGTTCTAAGGAATAATGTATTGAAAAGTCTATTCCTCTCATGGTGATGATGTTGATGATGACCTTGTGTGTGAGAATTTTAATGTTCCCTTGTCTTTCTTCCCAATTTTCTTTACGTTCAAGAAAATGGTGGATTGTATGTTATTAGTTGACAATAAAATAGAAGAATCCCCGATAAAACTCATTATGCTGAGTCATTGGTAATCTACAGGTAGTTTGAACACCTTGGCTAATAAATAATTACATCTGTCCTTTTCAGCTGTGTTTAATGGAATACAATTTCTGTGATGGTTGAGTGGATAATGCACTCGTTCCAATCCTAATAATCAATGGTTCAGTACAGGGGTGCCTTCAGTCGATCCAACTGGGAATGGGTATCTGAGTTGAATTAGTAGAGAGAAGAGAGAATGACACACTCACACACCAAATCTGTAAAAAATCAGGTCATCCCTCTCTTTAGGCTGGAGACTTCAATACTGCAACAAGCAACAAGCCAAACAATTATATTTAAGTGTATATAATTACCTTTAATCACCAATCAATCACCTCTCTACCGCCTATTAGCTACCACTATCTAGCTATACTTACTACAACCACCTACCAGCCAACCACCTACCAAACCACCTACCAGCCAACCACCTACCAGCCAACCACCTACCAGCCAACCACCTACCAGCCAACTACCGTCACCCACCAGCCAACCACCTACCAGCCAACCACCTACCAGCCAACCACCTGCCAACCACCTACCAGTCACCTACCAGCCAACACCTACCAGCAACCACCTCAGTCACCTACCAGAACCACCTACCAGCCAACCACCTACCAGTCAACCACCTACCAGCCAACCACCTACCAGTCACCTACCAGCCAACCACCTCCAGCCAACCACCTACCAGTCACCTACCAGCCAACCACCTACCAGCCAACCACCTACCAGTCACCTACCAGCCAACCACCTACCCACCAGCCAACCCACCTACAGCCAACCACCTACCAGCCAACTACACCAGTCACCCTACCAGCCAACCACCTACCAGTCAACCACCTACCAGTCACCACACACCCCACACCCAATCAGCCCCACCTAATATTACTTCCTCTCTCCTCCCTCTCTCTCTCTCACTCTCTCCCATTCCATCTTTCTCACCTCTCCCTCTCTCCTCCTCTCCGCCTCCTCACCAACCTGGAGCGCACACTTTTTGTCTCCCTTCTACCCAGCTCATTCTTTCCTCCTTTCACCTTTCATCTCCAATCTTCCTCCCCCCCCCAACCCTCTCCACCACTTCTCCCCTCTCCCTCTCCCCCCCCCTGCCTCCCCTCACCCCCCCTCCCTGCATTACCGGTTCTTACCATGGGCTGTGTTCACTTCCCTCGGTCACTTTCCTTCGGTCACTTTCCTTCGGGCACTTCCCTCCAGTGGGCAGTGTCGTCACCCACAACCTCTTCGTCAGTCTTAAGAAATTGAGATCATTTAAAAAAAATTTGACGGAAATGGAACGGTGATGTAGTTATTATTATTATTATTATTATTATTATTATTATTATTATTATTATTATTATTATTATTATTATTATTATTATTATTATTATTATTTATTATTATTTTTATATTTTTTTTGGTTGGAGTGTAATAAATGGTAGATGATGGTTAAAACATCATACTCAAGGGTTAAAACATCATACTCAGGGGTTAAAACATCATACTCAAGGGTTAAAACATCATACTCAAAGTTAAAACATCATACTCAGGGGTTAAAACATCATACTCAGGGTTAAAACATCATACTCAAGGTTAAACATCATACTCAGGGGTTAAAACATCATACTCAAGGGGTTAAAACATCATACTCAAGGGGTTAAAACATCATACTCAAAGTTAAAACATCATACTCAAGGGGTTAAAACATCATACTCAAGGGGTTAAAACATCACCAGACTTACATACGGTACAGAACCACACATCACAATTCTTTCATCAGTTAATTCCTTCACCACCACAGATCAGAGTTATATTAATTATTATTTATTTATTTTGACTCACATTAACCAAAAAGTTTAACATCTAATATAACCAGAGATTTAACGGCACAACTTCCCTCAGAAAGGCAAAATAAAAGAATAAAAAGTAAGAAAAAAATAAAAAAAGCAAACTAGAAATTACTGTAAAGAACAGTCATTAATATCTGAGAATTCTTGTCTCTTAAGAATGTTACACTCATCGTTTAGTTTATCTTTCTCATGGAATTTATTTATTTAATATGTCATGACCCGTTCTATCTTAAGGTCAGGTCACAGGGTCATCACAGCAGTTGACCAATAGAGGGTGGTGGAACATGGCCTTGTAGTGTACCCGTTGTGTGTGTGTGTGTGTGTGTGTGTGTGTGTGTGTGTGTGTGTGTGTGTGTGTGTGTATGTCGTCCGTGCTTGTCGAATCTTGTACATAGAAAAGTTGGATAATTGGAAACACAGGTTGTGGTTGTAGCGCTTTGGTTGTGGTTGTAGCCTCTTGGTTGTGGTTATGTGGTTGTGGTTAGCCTCTTGGTTGTGGTTGTAGTCTCTTGGTTGTGGTTTACAGCCTCTTGGTTGTGGTTGTAGCCTCTTGGTTGTGGTTGTAGCCTCTTGGTTGTGGTTGTAGCCTCTTGGTTGTGGTTGTAGTCTCTTGGTTGTGGTTGTAGCCTCTTGGTTGTGGTTGTTGCCTCTTGGTTGTGGTTGTAGTCTCTTGGTTGTAATTGTAGCCAGCCTCAGGTAAGGTTAATTAGTGTAATCACCTGGTTGTATGGTCCAATGGGTCACTCTCTCAGGTGTGTCGCTGTGTAAATGTTTATTTGAAGGAGTCATCGTAATCTGTCTGTCTGTCTGTCTGTCTGTCTGTCTGTCTGTCTGTCTGTCTGTTTGTCTGTCTTTTTATCTCTCTCTTTTCCTTTCTCTTTCTTTCACACAGTCTCTCTCTCTCTCTCTCTCTCTCTCTCTCTCTCTCTCTCTTCTTTTTCTTCTTCTTCAGTCTATTTTGATTCTTCTTTTCTTTTTTAAATATTTATTCCTATTTCATCTTATTCCTTCATTCTTTCAACAGGTTCAATAACCATAAATTTTTTGTGGGGTCATTCCTACACAGAGTTGCAAGATGACCTTTCCTGGTACGAATTGCTCACCGTGTGGTTAAATTGCACGAAGACTATTGACTACGGCGTAGAGAATGTTGCAATGTTGCTCTGACCAATCTTGCAACATGTTAATTGTGTACTCCGCCCCCACCCCGCCCCCTTTGCCTTTATTGAAAGTTCAAATGGTACCGGTTTTGTTGCAGAATGTTGCTTAGACCAATTTGCAACATGCTAAGTTCATATACTTCATCTCTAGTGGAAATTGCAATGTTGCTAAGACCAATTTGCAATATGGTAACGAGTGAAATCTCTCCTCCTCTTTACCTGAAGTTGCAATTGCGTGTGGGATGTTGGCTCTATGTTGAAGAATGTTGCAGAGTATTTGACGCGACTTACCTGAGTAGGGGGGGGGAGAGAGGAGGAGCCAAGTTGTGTTGAGACAATAACCTTTCCAAACACAATGAGATTTAAACTTTCTTATTTGATGCAATGAGGAAAAAGATGAACAAAATTAAAAAAAAGTTTTGAATTGATTTGAAGAAGAAAAAAATATTGACAAATTATGATTCATTTCGAAAAATAATGAAAGAAAATGATAAAAGGTGAATTAGCTTGAAAATTTAAGGAAAGATTTGTCTCGATGTAAAAACATAACAAAATAATAAAACCCCAAAGTTAACACAGTGTAAACAAGAGACAAGGGATCATATGAATAAAATAACACTTGTAATATTTTGTTTAATATATATATAATTACATAAACAAGTATAAAACATATTATTTGTATCGTATAAAAAAACCTCTTATTTTCTGAGTTTTATTACGAGTGAAAAACAGTCAGGCTAAACTGTTTGACTGGGCTGTTCCCTGACTGTTGCTATAGATCATCAGTAACCGTAAGAAGGCTTGGGACAGACTGTCTTATACGTCTGTTGAGTCTCAGTGACTGTATGGTACTGAGGGACCACTTGGGTCTGGTACTTGGTCTGGTACTGTACTTGGGTCGTGGTAACGTACTGGGGCTCGTACTGGGTCTTGTACACGGTCTGGTATTGGGTCTGGGTCACATACTGGGTCTGGTATTGGGTCTGAGTGATGTATTCTGGGATGTACTGGGTTGTGGTGACGTACTGGGTTTGGTATTGGGTCTGGTATTGGGTCTTGACCTGAGTTACGTACTGGACCTCGGTCTTGTAGACGGTCTGGGTGACGTATTGGGGAACATACTGGGTCTTATACTGGGTTTGATACTGGGTTTGATACTGGGTCTGGTAGTGAGTGGTAGGAACGTACTGGGTTTGGTAGTCCGTCTTGTATACCGGGACCTGGAATGAAAAAGAAACCGGGAAATAAATAAACAAAACAATTGCAAGTAGAAATCACATTATTGCACAGTTGCAGGATGATGTTGCACTTAGCTAGACTACTTTCCCGCCTGCCCCACCCCGGTACTAACCTTCTGGTACTCGGTCTGGTACATGGTGACGTACTGGGTCTTGGGGTAACAGCGTGACGGGCGGCGGTAACTGGGTTCTGCCGTCACCGTCACTAAAGCCGTCATAGCGACCACCACTGCCATGACCATATATGTTTCACGTGCTGACATCATCTGACACAGGAGATATGACACAGGAGATATGACACAGGAGATATGACACAGGAGATATGACACAGGTGATATGACACAGGAGATATGACACAGGAGATATGACACAGGTGATATGACACAGGAGATATGACACAGGAGATATGACACAGATTTTAAGTACTACGAATGACACAAGATATGACACATTATGTACTACTTATGACAGACAAATATGACACAATGATGATCTCAAATATGACACCAAATCAGGGAATAAATATATGAAACAAAAAGTAGATTAGTAGAGAGACTTGATAAAACAGGGAATAACTAAAAATTATGATAAACACAACACACACACACACACACACACACACACACACACACACACACACACACACACACACACACACACACACACACACACACACATTTAGACCTCAGTACAGTGATGTGTGAACAGTGAACATGGGAGGATGAACCTGACATTTGAGCGGATCACTGGAGACAAGAGGAGGTGATGAAAGAACGATAAGAGGAGGTAATGAAAGAACGATAAGAGGAGGTGTGAAAGAACGATAAGAGGAGGTGATGAAAGAACGATAAGAGGAGGTGATGAAAGAACGATAAGAGGTGAAGAACGATAAGAGGTGATGAAAGAACGATAAGAGGAGGTGATGAAAGAACGATAAGAGGAGGTGTGAAAGAACGATAAGAGGAGGTGATGAAAGAACGATAAGAGGAGGTGATGAAAGAACGATAACAAACAGTAACATGTGGTTATTTAAGCCTTTATTATAGAATTACTTTACAGGTGAAATATGAAGTTGTGGTGTTGTGTGTTGTGGTGTTTATGATTTGTGGTGCTGTGGTGTTGTGATGTTGTGGTGTTGTGGTGTTGTGGTGTTGTTTGTTGTGTTGTTATGATTTTGTTGATGTGGATGTTATGGCATTGATGTTATGAGAGAGAGAGAGAGACTGTTTGGGTATAAAAAATATAATTGATTTGGTGTTTAACTTCGTGGGAGGAGACTCTGTAGAGAGAGCTAAGTGTTGTGTGTGTGTGTGTGTGTGTGTGTGTGTGGAATGGAATTTAAAAGGAAATGACAAAGAGGTAGTGAACAAGGAGATAAGAAAGACCTTGATGAAAAATAAGAATTGAGGCAGAAAAGAGGTAGAAGAGGAGAATGGCATTACCTAACCTAACCCAACCTAAGCGTGACCTTAATTATAACATCATCAAAAATTAATTGCCGTAAACAACCAGGTAAACCTGTAATGTTCCTCCAATTAAGAAAACAAAATATTTAACTTCACGGTCATTCAAGAATTAATATCAATAAGCACCCCAACCTTAGGGTAATTGACAGCTGTGGACCTTAACAAGAGCCAATGATAAATGTATTAACTCAAGGTATATATTTGAAGAGGCATTGTGTGGGGGTTAGGGGTAGGTGGACAGAGAGAGAAGACAGAGAGAGAGAGACAGAGAGAGATAATGATAGTAATAATAGTAGTGATAGGTGATAGTAATGATAATTATAGTGGTAATTATCCTACTACTACTACTACTACTTTTTCTACTTCTAATAATCATAATCATAATTAATCACAAAATTACAAAATCCAGATAAAAACTAAAATACAAAATGACATAAAAAAATTATAAATCTCCTTCATTAAAAATATCAAAACTTTTCCGTCAGTGAGTGAAAAAGTTTTATAAAATATATAAACCAGGGAGGGTAGTTGGGTAGTTGGGTAGTTAGTGTAGGAGATTACCTTATTGGGTGTGGTATTCCGCGGTGGCGAGAGGGCAACTGTTGAAGGTGGGCCAAACACCTCAAATATATAGTAGTGTACTTGTTACGTCACACCTGGGGAAGGGTGAGATACGCTCTAAAAACATATTGTTGTGTGTGTGTGTGTGTGTGTGTGTGTGTGTGTGTGTGTGTGTGTGTGTGTGTGTGTGTGTGTGTATTTCACACACACACACTAGTGATCTGGTAACTCACTGGTGTGCTGAAAGTGTCAAGGAACTTAACGAGCGTGGAGGTCTAATCAATAAATTACGAGGCATGATTTACCGATCATCTTGTGTGTGTGTGTGTGTGTGTGTGTGTGTGTGTGTGTGTGTGTGTGTGTGTGTGTGAAAAGGAAGAAGAATAGGGTGAAAAATATGGCAATAGAATAATAATAATAATAATAATAATAATAATAACAATAATAATAATAATAATGATGATAATAATAATAATAATAATAATAATACAAATAATAATAATAATAATAATAATAATAATAATAATAATAATAATAATAATAATAATAATAATAATAATAATAATAATAATAATAATAATAATAATAATAATAATAATAATACGTATTTTTGGAATTCAGCAATGCGTTAATTTCTTGTCTCCGTCCCTACTACTTTCACCCTTGTCTCTGTAATCCGTCAAGGGGGAGGGGGGGAGGGGAGGAGGTTGGAGGTGGTGGAGAAGGAGATTGGAGGAGGAGGGGAGGAGGGAGGGGGGCCTTACTGTCATCTGATTCTCACACACGTACAGTATCTTGTTCCATGTGAAGGCCATTAAGGAATTCACTACCTGGTTAACCCCACTTGAGAACGTGTTGTGGGTTGCCTATCGGAGGTGGGCCAAGTGTCTAGATGTGTTTAAGGTGGTGGGCCAAGTCTAGATGTGCTTGATGTGGTGGGCCATGCCTAGAAGTGCTTAAGGTGGTGGGCCAAGGTTCAGATGTGTTTAAGGTGGTGGGCCAAGTGTCTAGAAGGCTTAAGGTGGTGGGCCAAGTCTAGATGTGCTTGATGTGGTGGGCCAAGTGCCTAGAAGTGCTTAAGGTGGTGGGCCAAGTCTAGATGTGCTTAAGGTGGTGGGCCAAGTGTCTAGACGTGCTTAAGGTAGGACAAGTGTCTGGACGTGCTAAGGTGGTGGGCCATGTCTAGAAGTGCTTAAGGTTGGGCCAAGTCTAGATGTGCTTGATGTGGTGGGCCAAGTGCCTAGCCTAAGGTGGGCCAAGTCCAGATGTGCTTAAGGTGGTGGGCCAAGTCTAGATGTGCTTAAGGTGATAAGTGTCTAGACGTGCTAAGGTGTCAAGTGTCTAGAAGTGCTTAAGGTGGTGGGCCAAGTCTAGATGTGCTTGATGTGGTGGGCAAGTGCCTAGAAGTGCTTAAGGTGGTGGGCCAAGTCTAGATGTGCTTAAGGTGGTGGGCCAAGTCTAGATGTGCAGGTGGTGAGCCAAGTGTCTGGGCAGTGCTTGGTGGTGGGCCAAGTGCCTAGAAGTGCTTAAGGTGGTGGGCCAAGTCTAGATGTGCTTAAGGTGGTAGGCCAAGTGTCTGAGCGATGGCAAGGTGGTGGGCCAAGTGCCTAGAAGTGCTTGGTGGTGGGCCAGAGTCTAGATGTGTTAAGGTGGTGGGAGGTGTCTGGACGTGCTTAAGGTGTGGCCAAGTGTCTAGACGTGCTTAAGGTGGTGGGCCAAGTGTCTAGAAGTGTAGGTGGTGGGCCAGAGTCTAGATGTGCTTGGTGGTGGGCCAAATCTAGATGTGCTTAAGGTGGGGGCCAAGTGTCTGGACGTGCTTAAGGGTGAGCCAAGTGTCTAGACGTGCTTAAGGTGGTGGGCCAAGTCTAGATGTGCTTAAGGTGGTGGGCCAAGTCTAGATGTGCAAGGTGGTGGGCCAAGTGTCTAGACGTGCAGGTGGTGGGCCAGAGTGTCTGGACGTGCAGGTGGTGGGCCAAGTGCCTAGAAGTGCTTAAGGTGGTGGGCAAGTCTAGATGTGCTAAGGTGGTGGGCCAAGTCTAGATGTGTAAGGTGGTGCCAGTGTCTGGAGCATGCTCAAGGTGGTGGCCAAGTGCCTAGAAGTGCTTAAGGTGGTGGGCCAAGTCTAGATGTGCTTAAGGTGGTGGGCCAAGTCTAGAAGTGCTTGATGTGGTTGGCCAAGTGTCTAGACGTGCTTAAGGTGGTGGGCCAAGTGTCTGGACGCTTAGCAAGGTGGTGGGCCAAGTCTAGATGTGTTTAAGGTGGTGGGCCAAGTGTCTGAAGTGCTTAAGGTGGTGGGCCAAGTCTAGATGTGTTTAGGTGGTGGGCAAGTGTCTGACGTGCAAGGTGGTGGGCCAAGTGCCTGGAGTGCTAGGTGGTGGGCCAAGTCTAGATGTGTTTAAGGTGGTGGGCCAAGTGTCTAGAAGTGCAAGGTGGTGGGCCAAGTCTAGATGTGTTTAAGGTGGTGGGCCAAGTGTCTAGACGTGCAGGTGGTGGGCCAAGTGTCTAGACGTGTTTAAGGTGGTGGGCCAAGTGTCTGGACGTGCTTAAGGTGGTGGGCCAAGTGTCTAGAAGTGCTTGATGGTTGTCAAGTGTCTAGACGTGCAGGTGGTGGAGCCAAGTCTAGATGTGTTTAAGGTGGTGGGCCAAGTGTCTAGAAGTGCTTAAGGTGGTGGGCAAAGTCTAGATGTGTTAAAGGTGGTGGGCCAAGTGTCTAGACGTGTCAAGGTGGTGGGCCAAGTGCCTAGAAGTTAAGGTGGTGGGCCAAGTCTAGATGTGTTTAAGGTGGTGGGCCAAGTGTCTACAGAAGTGCTTAAGGTGGTGGGCCAAGGTTCAGACGTTTAAGGTGGTGGGCCAAGTGTTCAGACGTGCTTAAGGTGGTGGCCAAGTGTCCAGACGTGTTTAAGGTGGTGGGCCAAGGTCTAGACGTGCTTAAGGTGAGTAAGTGTTTAGACGTGTTTAAGGTGTGGGCCAAGTGTCTAGACGTGTTTAAGGTGGTGGGCCAAGTGTCTGGACGTGTTTGATGTAGGGCCAAGGTTGACGTGCTTAAGGAGATGGGCAGTCTAGACGCTAAGGTGGCCATGTCTAGACGTGTTTAAGGTGGTGGGCCAAGTGTCTAGACGTGCTTAAATTAATATCAACAAACTTTCTTTAACTAAACTCTGTATCACTAACTCATGTCCCTAATATGATACCTTAACTCATCCCTAACCTAACTTAACTTAACTCATCCCTAACCTAACTTAACTTAACTCATCCCTAACCTAACTTAACTTAACTCATCCCTAACCTAACTTAACTCATCCCTAACTTAACTTAACTCATCCCTAATCCCTAACCTAACTTAACTTAACTCATCCCTAACCTAACTTAACTTAACTCATCCCTAACCTAACTTAACTTAACTCATCCCTAACCTAACTTAACTTATGTATGTATGTATGTATGTATGTATGTATGTATGTATGTATGTATGTATGTATGTATGTATGTATGTATGTAAGAAGCTAACACGACGCACAACAAAGAGGTATTGTGTTAAAACCTTTCTTCTTCTTTTTCTCCTCCGTTCCTGCTCCTCCTATCTTCTTCCTCCTGCTCCTCCTTCTTCTTCTCCTTCTTCCCCACCGTTTACATCATAGCCATTGTCTGTCTGTCTGTCTGTCTAAGGTCTTGTGCCAGCATCAAGACGTTGGCACACACACTTGAATTTCGTCGATGACTGACTTTTGTTCGTCCACGCCATCGGGAGGAGAGAGAATAATGTGATTTCTTCCTTTAAAACAATAGCGATGGAACTGGCTGCTCCCTTGTATGCTTTTGTTTTGACCTGACTCGGTGTTTATAGTGTGTTTTATGTGTTGACCTATTCTCTAGTGTGCTGTGAGTCATGTCTGGTGTTTGTAGATGCATAAATTTGGAGGCAACAAGACGAGCATGGCTGACAGTAAAGCTTAACCTAACCTAACCTAAACGTAACATAACCTAAGCCTAACCTAACCTAACCTAACCTAACCTAAACGTAACATAACCTAAACCTAACCAGATAATGTTAGGAATGTTTAAATATCAAATAAAATAAACTAGGGTGGCTAATCTTCAGGTGATCCTCGATACACTCACTATGATAAGCCAAACCTGAAGTATTGTGAGAAAATATCAGGTTAAGTGAGCACCCTCTCTCTCTCTCTCTCTACACACACACGCACACACAGACACACACACACACACACACAGGCACACACAAACACACAGGATACTCGTGAGGCCTCGTATGATATGTTTGTATTTTTATCTTTCTCTCTCTCTCTGTCTCTCTCTTTTACCTGATTTTCTTATATTTTCTTTACTTCCTTAATTCACATTTCTCTTTACTTCTGTTTATCGAGTTATCTTTAACCTTCTGTCCAACTCATCATTTCCTTAAGAGTGGAGAAAGTAAAGTATTTTTATTTCTCGTGTTCGTGTTCGTGTTTGTGTTCGTATTTGTGTTCGTATTTGTGTTCGCATTTGTGTTCGTGTTTGTGTTCGCATTTGTGTTCGTATTTGTGTTCGTGTTTGTGTTCGTGTTTGTGTTCGTATTCGTGTTTGTGTTTCCAGATTAGGTTAGGTTAGCTTACCTTTGGTTAATTTAGCTCAGGTTAGCTTAGGATAGAGTTAGGTTGCATACTAACACTCAAGGACTCGACACTTATCTGAAGGCCACATAATAAGTAAGAGGCTTGTGTGTAATGACTAAATAAATAAATAAATAAATAAATATCTTTGTAGTTTTTAATAATCTTTAAATTATAAATAAAGTATCACCTATCACTCTTAGCCATGAATTAATGTATCGATTATAGTCTACAAGAAATATAATTATATCCTGTATTTATAGTTATAGATAATGTAATTGTATGATTGTATGGTGAATAACGAGACGAAATTTATTGTAAATTAATTTATATTCAGTAAAATTATATATTAAAAAAACGATAGAGGGAAAAAATTATAATCGGTATAAATTCGTGTGACTTTATTGAACTTCTAGACACTGAGAACTAATTATACCTGTACACTAATTAAGTAAACAGTGGGAGCTCCAGGTGTGGCGGTGGTGTGGCGGTGGTGTGGCTCTCAGTACCCGTAGGTTGGCTTGGGGCACACTGTCTTGTAGGTGTGTTGGGTCTGCACGACGGTGTGATACTCGGGGACCACTTGGGTCTCGTACTGGGTATGGTACTGCACCTGGGTCGTGGTCACGTATTTAGGCACGTACTGGGTCTTGTACACGGTCTGGTACTGGGTGTGGGTTACGTAATGGGTCTTGTATTGGGTCTCAGTAATGTACTTTGGGACATACTGGGTTGTGGTGACGTACTGGGTTTTGTATTCGGTCTTGTATTGGGTCTGGTACTGAGTGACGTAATTAACTTGGGTCTTGTAGACGGTCTGGGTGACATACTGAGGAACATACTGGGTCTCGTAGTGGGTCTGGTACTGGGTTTTATACTGGGTCTGGTAATAGGTACTGGGGACGTAGTGGGTGCTGTAGACAGTATGGTAGACGGGAACCTACGGAGACGGGAAAACAAAAACATTACCAAAAACGAACGAATCTTCATCATAATTTCCCAAACACCAAAAACAAACAGAATAATCCTTTAACAATCCATCATAGTCTCCCTAATCTCTAATTATCTCAACCAAACACAAATATGAAGAACAAAAAACACTTTAAAATATATTCTTACGAGATATACTTCAGAACACCTTAGGATTTGTTCTCATATCATCACGTCTATGAGGATCCCGTTCCACCTCACACACACACACCCCCTCCAGTACCTACCTGCTGGTACTTTGTTTGGTAATGAGTGACTTGATGTGTCTTGGGGTAGCAGGGCTTAGGAGGAGGGAGGTAGCCTGAATCAGCTACCACCACAGCCGCCACCACAGCCACCAACACCACCACCACTATACTGGCACTTGAAGACAGCATCTGGAACCCCAAAAAATAAATACAGTCCCACCTTTCCACCTGATAAGAACAGGTACAATTCACAATTTATTAGTACAAAAAAGTAATAATTTATCAATAAACTCGTACGTTAACTTAGGATTTCCATAGCACATTGATCTACAGAGAATATTTATATATCGTGTAGAATGAATTATAATGACTTGTTGGTGTTATTCATTTGCCATCTGTGTTTGTGTGTGTGGTGCTGGAAGTGAATCTGACACTCTATACATTAACATTTGAGACACGGTTCAGGAAGATGCATTCACCTCTGGGAGTTGTTTCCTCTTCGGCAGATCACGAGAGACTGACGAAGAGCGAGAGGTGGCTGATATTTATAGGTCGGCTCACCTGTGGGGTTTAGCGCTCTGTCGAAGGTCGCTGGAAGGTGAGAGGGGTCCAATCACCTGCTGCCGTGTCACTGCCTCAGGGGTGAAGGCGAGTATTAGATCATACCTGCTGTAAGAGATATAGAGATAGAGAAAAAGAGACACACAGAGAGACAGAGACAGACAGAGAATAAGACAGACTTAAGACACAGATGAGACAGAATGTAATTTAATTCTCGTCAACAAGACAAGACACAAATGCCCCCTTGTTTCTAGATTACTCGTTAGATCCTCAGGTGAACAGTCAACCGTGATCTCTTCACCTGAGCAGTGCTTAATGAGTCTTCTCACTTGACCACGACACCTCAAGCTTTAAAAAAACTGTCCCACTCGTCCCACAATACACTGTGAGGTAAGCTTATTCTCAGCTTAGTGTGTGTGGATGAAGATTTAACCTCAGCTTAGTGTGTGGATGAAGGTTTAGTCTCAGCTTAGTGTGTGGACGTGCCTTAAGCAGCTTGAAGCTTAAGAGGATGTAAAATGAAGATTTGCTTATACTTTCTGCATATTTACCCAAGTTTTGGTTAGGTTAGGTTAGGTTAAGTTAGCATTAGGTTAGGTAAGCGAAAAGGTATTTAATCATCAGGTGTGCCAAGCTGGGATGCCTAAACTTCAGGTGAGAATTTCTTTTGTTTGGGAAAATAACGGTGATGACCAACAGCTTTGGGTTACCTGCCCGTAATTACAACATACGGTGAGTCGACAGGTAGATAACATGGGTGGACAGGTAGATAAGTGGAAAGGTAGATGAGATGAATCGATAAGTAAATGAGCCGACAGGTAGATAATACACAGGTAGAAAAATCAACAGGTAGATAAATCAACAGGTAGATAAACAAATAAATAAATAAATAAACAGGTAAATAGACAGATAAATAATAATAGACAGGTAAATGACTCGACACCTGTAGATGAGTGAACTAGTACATCGACCTTACCTGAGTCACCCCCGTCACCTCCCTTGCGTGTGGACGGTGGTGGTGGAAGCTCTTTCAAACATCATCTCGTCTTGGGTCAGGTAAGTGAGTGCTGTTCAAACACGAGTGCCTACCTGCAACCTGTTTCATTAACCCAGCCTACTGTAGTTCTTCCTGTCTAAAGTGTAAACCTAACCTGGAAATAAGGCGGGTAAATATTGCTATACATACATACATACATACATACATACATACATACATACATACATACATACATACATACACACATACGCTGTAGCCTTTGCAAGTAAAAAAAAAAGTAAAAGTTGGTTTCCTTAAGGTACTGTATTCGACTGTATTCCTTCCCCAAACTGTAACATAAGGTGTGTGTCTGTGTGTGTGTGTGTGTGTGTGTGTGTGTGTGTGTGTGTGTGTGTATGTGTGTGTGTGTTACTATCACTTTCTACATTTTTTTCATTTTCTCAACTAAATCCTTCGTTTGTTTATTTAGATAGATAGATAGATAGATAGATAGATAAATAGATAGATGGATAGATAGATAGATAGATAGACAGATAGATAGATAGATAGGAAAAAATAAAGCAAATCATTGTGTATCATAAGACTTATTTTTCATTGATTATTAGACCAAAACTTTAATGAATTTTCTTTGTTTTTTCTTTGTCTCTCTTAGGTTAGGTTAGGTTAGGTTAGGTTAGGTTAGGTTAAAATATATAATATTCATATAATATAATATTTATTCACATGGTATAATATCATATATAAATTTGACTAGTTTTAAACAGACATCCTATTACGTAAGTATACATACATACATACATACATACATACATACATACATACATATTACCAGAGGCTTACTGTTTTGGGAACGTGTGTGTGTGTGTGTGTGTGTGTGTGTGTGTGTGTGTGTGTGTGTAACGTAGATTTCACATCTCTTCTTAGGCAGACACACACACACACACACACACACACACACACACACGTTCTTGCGTTACTGTTTACATTCTGTTCATGTTGAGGAGCTTCCTGACCTACCAAGCACCTGTCCAGTCGTCTTCATTAGTACTCGTAATAAGGCTTATGAGGACAGTAAGTCTTATAACCATATTGGGTCTGGGCTACTGTCACGTACTCAGGGACTACTTGGGTCTGGTACTGGGTCTGGTATCGTACTTGGGTCTTGGTAATGTACTGGGGTTGATATTGGGTCTTATATAGGGTCTGATACTGGGGCTGGGTTACATAATGGGTTTGGTATCGGGTCTTAGTGATATATTGTGGGATATATTCGTTCTTGGTGGCATATTGGGTTCGGTATTGGGTTCGGTATTGGGTTCGGTATTGAGTTACGTACTGGAGTTGGGTTCTGAAGACGATTTCAGTCTCATATTTGGGTATGAATTGGGTCTGGTACTTGGTCTGGTAGTAAGTTTGGTACTGGGTTCTGTAGAGGGTGGTAGGGACGACCTGTTGCTTGTAGATACTTGTATACACTGGTACCTGTAGTGAAAGAAAACCTTATGTAGACTAAATAAAAAACCCCACATCCCTACATAAGAAAACCTAACCTAACCATAAGCCCAGAAATTTCATATGACAGATAATATTTAATCATAACGTCACTCTAATCTACATATTTAATCATGACGTCACTCTAATCTACCTGTTGGTACTCTGTTTGGTACTTGGTGACGTAATTAATCTCAGGATAACACCGAGCTGAGGCAGGAGATGGGAAGTAGCCTGAATCACCTACCACCACGGCTACCACCACCGCTACCACCACGGCTACCACACTACCACTCGAGAACATATCTGAAGAAAAGATTTGTAGAATTATTGATGATTATACATACCAAAACGAGATGATAGAATTAACTGCTATAATATGTGGATTTAAATTATTGTCTTAGTTTAAATACAGGTTATAGAGGTAGACTATAATGGTACGTCTCTACATAAGGTGACAACACGTATTACGCAGGTGTTGTTATTGAGGTTATTGAAGATGTGATTGAATGAGTTTGTGAAGATGATTGAGTGGAGGTTAGGCAGGTGATTGAGTGGAGGTTAGGCAGGTGATTGAGTGGAGGTTACGCAGGTGATTGAATGGTGGTTACGCAGGTGATTGAATGGTGGTTACGCAGGTGATTGAATAGATGATACTCAGGTGATTGAATAGATGTTATGCAGGTGTTATTAATGAGGTTGTAAAGGTGTGATTGTTGTGGAAATGTGATAGTGGTGGTAATCGTCAAGCCAATTTTACTTTCACAAGGTGATAGGTTGAGTCGACTAGTTTTTGTAGCATGCACCTCTCCAGTCCACAACAGGTGCTGAGGAGTGTTAATTTACCATGGCAAGGTGTTCTAACTCCCCCCTCTCTTTCCCTGCCCCCTCCCCTCTCTCCCCCCCCTCCCCCAACCCTCCTCCCCTTCCTTACCTCAACTCCCCCACCTTCCTTCCTCTCCACTTGTGATCGCGATGAGTTGACCCCTTGATGACGATGATTGACCCCTTGAATAAATGAGTTGACCCCTTGATGACGATGATTGACCCGTTGATGACGATGATTGACCCCTTGATGACGATGATTGACCCCTTGATGACGATGAGTTGAGCCCTTGATGACGATGATTGACCCCTTGATGACGATGATTGACCCCTTGATGACGATGATTGACCCCTTGATGACGATGAGTTGAGCCCTTGATGACGAGATGATTGACCCCTTTGATGACGATGATTGACCCCTTGATGACGATGGAGTTGAGCCCTTTGATGACGATGATTGACCCTTGATGACGATGATTGACCTCGATGACGATGATTGACCTTTTTG